TTACCTGGCAGTAATTGTTGAGGACGTAATTAGTAAAGATGAGGTCATACTGCAGAACAGTGAGTCCTAATCTAAACCAATGGTGTCCTTATGCAAATGTGGAACCTGGACAGATTCCCTTTGGGGAAGCAAGGCCCTGTCAGCTCCTGATCTCAGACATCTGGTGTTCACAGTTGTGAGGACAAGCGTCCTTAGTTCAAGCCACCAGTGTGTGGCACTTTCTATGGTGACTTAGGGACAGAAGAGTCACGGAGAAACTGCCAGTGAGGGAGGGGCTGCCCTTCACCAGTCTGCCAGCGCCAGGGAGGTGTCTGGACTTGACTTCTCTCACTGACTGAGCTTAGAGACGTGCTTTCCTTTCCTCTGGCACTTTCTAGCTCCTGCCTGCCTGTGGCCAGCTCTGAGGACATGAGGGAGGTATCTGGGATTCAGGCATTTGCAGAGTGAGGCAGCCAGCTGAGGAAGAGGCTGTGAGGTGAAGGTGGTTCAGGGCCGGACACATCTCAGGGAGCCGAGGGACAACACAGAAAGTTGGTGGCTGGGGGTGGCGCTCCTCTAAAGCATAGCACCCCTCCACAGGCCCTTCACAGCCACACGTGTTGATTTACATGGCCACTGGGTAGTGCTTCCTAAGTCCCAGGCACTATTCTGCCTCTGTGAAGCCCCATGGCAACCCTAAGAGGCGGGCACTGCATTTTCAGTTCACAGAACAGCAACAGAGAGGTGCTGCCATGGGCTGGAGATCACACAGTAAGTGGGCAGCCAGCCTGGGCAGGTCCTGGCATGGGAGCTGCTTCTTCCTCTTTGCTCTCCAGTAGCAGGGCGTGCGTACTAATCTGAGCCGCGCCTGTGTGTCATCCCAGAAGCCTTGGAGATGACCACCCATCAGATCCAGTAAGACCTCCAAAGTTCTTGATGGGTGTTTCTGGATCTGATAAATGCAATCACATTTCCATAAGACTGGAATTTGATATAATTATCAAATTATCTTTTTTCTTCTATTTTTCTAAACCTTCTTATCTCTTATTCCCAATTGCTGCACAGAACAAAATTCTGTATAAAATTCAATGAGAATGAGTGAATGGAGGTTTTCATACAATTCAGTAAATACAACTTCAGTGAGAGTTCAGGGCGCTCTCAGCAGGGAAGGAAGGAAAATGGCATCATCAGCATAAATTAAGTAGAAAAGAACTGATGTATGAATTAAAGACAGTTTTCTTGTAAGTCTGACAGGCCCCCTCAGGGACTGAGAGACACAAGCCCAGTCTCAGGGGCATCCTGAAAAGCCTCTGTACCTCTAATGGAGGTGGAGGAGGCGGAGGACGTGCCTTGTTATGAAGTTAGAAATAAAGGCTGGTGCTGGCTCTGACTTGGTCTGACTTAGGACTCTGCATAGAACAGTGACACTGGGCATCGTCCTGGAGCCAAACCAAAGCCCTTGGAAGTAGAGCTGCCAGCCCATCTGTGTTCAGAACATGTGTGCATAGGGCCTCCAGTCCAGGCACCTTCACATCTCATCTCCCTTGGGTCTACATCAGTTGTCTGTGGCCTGAGCCATGTCTGCTCCTGCTGGTTAGGAACAGAGGATGACCTGGGGTCTCCAACAGCTTCCAGAGACACTGCTGTCTCCTCTGCAGTGCCTCTGCGTTGGGGAGGGGGGTCGCCATGGGTGCGGGGCAAGGCACTGTGGTGGTTGGGAAGGACCAGTGCCCTGTACTGTGCTGCGCTGTGCTGTGGGAGGACTTGTCTCCTGCTCTGAGACTTCTAACGTGGAGTCCTTGATTTCTCTGATGTCCTAAAAAGCAGGAATTTCTGAAAGGCCAAATGTAACAGGTGTCCCAAACCTCATGGTTGGCTGACTGGCCAGCTGATCGGTTTGGCAGACAGATGCCTTGATGGGCCAGTTTTATGGAATGCATAAATTCCACACATGGGTTGAGAACCCAGGATGCCCACACTTGAGAGTGAAGACACAAAGCCTCGGGCTGGTGAAGCCAGGAGACACGTCAGGGACTATGCACCTGGCTTCATTCCTTGGGGGAAGAGCTGACTGCCCAAGGTCACTCAGCCATACATGGCTAGGTCAGATCAATACTCGGAATACAGATGTGTGCCACCTGTCAGTGGGCATGGGGGACTCAGACAGCAAAAGCCCTCGCTTTCCACCATCCACTAGCCAACTAATGTACAAGCCCTCATTTCTACAGGAGACCCTCAGACAAGCTGGGGACCCACAGAAGGATGGGCCATCTCTCCTGGATGCCAAGAAGGACAGAAGCACTGCTTCTTATACTTGGGAGCCAAAACTCAATGTTGACAAAGAAACAGATGAACAGGGTCGGTTTTGGCTGCGAGAATTAAGAGCAAGCTATGTGCTCACAGAATGAGAAAAGCACAGACGGGGTCTTCTCCATCCCTGTGGGCAGTCAGGGCTGCTCTGAGGCAGAGGGTCCTGGGCGCCTGAGTTTTACAGCAGGTGGATCAGAGAACACTTAAGGCATGAATGATAAATAAATGCAGGCATGTGAAAGGTCCCTGGGAGAAAACATTATAAACAAGAATCTGAGTACAGAGCGGAGCAGCACCTGCTAGACACAGCTATGGAGCCCTTACTGCAAGCCCGTCCCCGGGGAGCAGGCAGTGCGGAGCCTGGCACGACTCAGTCACGTATTTGCTACCATCGTCTTTTCTGTTTTACCCCTTGATGTGGAGAGTGTCATCAAAACAGGGAATCACAGACAGCTGGCCCCCAGCTGCAGCCACCCCTCTCCCATCTCAGGGCCTGGAGCTTCTTAGAGTGGCATAAGAACACTCATTCATTTAGCATCAGGAAATGCTCCCAGGGGCTGGTGTGAGCCAGCGGCCAGGGTCCAAAGTGAGCAGAGGACACACCTGCCTTCACCAAGCTTGACCTGCTGGACCTCTGGCTGACCCTGGTGGCTGCTAATGAAACCATCATCTCCAGGCTTCTTTCTGTCTCTCAGCAGACACTCATTTCCCTGCCTCTCTTCTACCTGGAAGCCAGGTGACCAAGTCCTAACTCAGCAAGAAGCGCAAGGAATTCCAAGGTCTCTAAGCACAGTGTTGCTTTCCCGGGACAAGGTCATTTGCTCTCATCATTTCTGCTCCCTCCTCCTTCAATGCGGATGTAAAAACCCCTGAGCTGAGGCAGCTACGTTGTGATCACTAAGTACCCAAGCATGGGGTTGGAAAGGTAAGACACCGAGGATGATACAGTAAAAGGAGAAGGAGCTGGGCTTTGATGACAGCATTCGAGCTGCCGGCAAAGCCTACCACCCATGCACCAGCACATGGCCTGTTAACGTGAAAGAAGCGACCTGCAGGTTGAACTCCGTTCTTTGCAGTTAGCAGCAATTTGTATGGATGTCCCTCTGTTTGTAAGTGAATCAGGGTTTCCTCTTTGATGAACTTTGTAGCACTCCCATGAGGCCGTAGGTGAAGCAGTGGCTGGAGCATGGAGCTCACTGAGCATCACTGAGCATTACCCCATGGAGGAACCACAGCAAATCCACGGCTGCTGGAGCTCAACGAGTGCCATCGTCATTGTCTGGGATGACTGAACGGACATGGACCATTGTCCCCTGAGGATGAGTGCTGAGCTGCTGGTCGCCTTTCCTGACTGTGCTATTTACTGTCAGGCATTGAGAAGCAAAGCAAGTGGGATTCCTGGGCAGTCTGCAGTGCAGACAGCTGTGGGGACCACAGGCCACATGCATGAGCCTGGCCTTGCCCAGCAAGGGACATCATAGCCTGCTTAGTCCCCTGACGAGAAGTCAGTTGTCCTTGGCTGAAGTCCCAGGTTCCATCTGGGTTCTAGGAAAACAGTGTGGGGACAATCTGGCCCTCAAGGTTCCTCCAAACAAGAAGCCCGACATAACATGCAACCCTGTACGCACAGATACCAACATTCTTAGGTGGGTCAACCTGGTGAGGTCCTGCCAGGGAAACTTCCTCTGGCCAGTTGGTGGATGATCCCTGCCCTTGGGACCAATTATTAAGATCCCCACTGGGTCCCCTTGTGAATGTGCAGTTACACATCACCCAGTTTCATCAACCCCCTAGATTAGCCACGGAGGTGGGCACAGACCCCACATGGGTCAAATACCCACTCCAGGACTCGTTCGTGTCAGTTTGTGAAGCAGCCATTCTCACTGGGGACACTGCCCCAGGGACTCTTGCCCACGTCTAGAAACTGATGGTCACAGGTAGGCGGGGAGACGGTGTCAAGGGCATCTGGTGGGGGAGAATGGGACTACAGTAGATGTGGCTCTGACAGGCTTATAAAATGGATGTTTTACATGGAACTATCATCTAAAGGCAACCTCAGGAGAGAATAGCTACATGTCAGGTGAAAACTGGATTCAAGGTTGACTGTGAATGCATTTAGTTAATGGAGTACAGGAGCAACAATGCATATTCCTAAGATTATATTCATTGTATACAAATTACCTCGTGCATTAGGAAGATACTGCTAGGAAGTGGGACAGTGCTTTTAATAGCAGCTGTATTTTTTCTTAATAACTGAAAGACCATAATTACTGCAGAAGTTCCTGAAACTGAAACTGGTATGTGAAAGAAATTAAATAGGGTTGGAGATTCCTTTGGGGCTGAGCCAGACAGAGAGGAAAATCTAAATATTTTTTTTCTAGAATGAAATATTTCCTGATTAGCTTCTGAATGATGTGTTTGTATCTGTGAGGCTGGAGCCAATGGCCTGTACTTAATTTGTTCTTTCTGTTTATTTGTAGAATAAACCACCTGCCAAGCACACTGTGCTCACAGTGCCTTGGGACCCTCATGGTAGACCGTCCCTGCATGCCTAGCACCTGCCCCCATCCCTGTACATCCTTCTTGGGGCACAGTGGGTGATTTGTTCATATTACCATGGGGTCACAGAACAGTGACCCCCTACATCCTAAGGGAGGCCCAGGTGGCAGCCCCTCTCCATTCCTACAGGAGGAGGGCATGGGGACCCTTACCTAGCCGGTTGCAGGGGTTCCGCTTGAAGAGGGCCCTCAGCAGGCTCTGGGCCTCCATGCTGAGGAACTGTGGCATGCCCAGCTTGGCTCTGTAAGACAGAATCAGATGCAGGGTGAGAAGGCCAAGCTCAGCTCTGCAAGTCCCACTGTTTCCAACGAGACAGACCCCAAAACTACCTAGAGCAGCAGTGCCCGCTAAGGACCCTTTTATGTTTTAAAACTCTGTGAAGGCGCTGAAGAGCTTCAGCTCACGTGGCTTGTAGTTGGCCGCTTACCGTATTCAAAATTAAAAGTGTGAAGTTTTCCCAATGCTACTTAATGATCCATTTAAAATGTAATGAAAACATCAGAAAGCAATAATACCCCCAGGAGCATCAACGGCATTTTCAATGAAAATGAACTCATTTCCCCAAACCAAAACACACAACGCAAGAAGTGTGTATGTGGTTTAGGTTTGGCGAGTCCCTTCCTGGCTCCCTCGGACAGTGGCCCTCTTACCTTTACTATCGGGCCACTGCAGTACTATGTGGAAGTATCAGAAAGGAGGGTCCTGCAGCTCCTAGTGGGGTGTTAATGACCTTGGGGCTCCTTGGACAGGGCGCTGAGCTTGGGCTGAACCTCCAGGAAGTCTAACCTGCCCAAGTGACAGGCAGGAGCCCACCTCGGCTTGTGGGAGGGATTGCCTAGCTTTAGTAAGAGTAAAAAACCCAGGGATCAGAGGCGGTTCCCATAGAACATGGGCTGCAGTTCTGGCAGCTACCATGAATCAAAGGACAACATGGGGCACTGTGAAGGGCCTTTGCGATGGGCTTTTCTTCACCCACCTCTTCCCCCATGTAGAAGGAAGAAACTTACAGAGGCTTAACTTGAGGGATTTGATGCCTCTGGAGTTTGAATAAAGGTTATACAACTGTCTACAGCAGCATTCTGGCGGTCCTGAGAGTGTTAGGACTTCTCCATGGAGTAGCCCTCCCTGATTTGGGGTCCCTATCACCCACTTCATGCCCTTCTCTGATACTCAGGCTGAGCTCATCTAGGGCTTTCACAGTAATGCATCTGCAGGAGAACGGAGCGAAAACTGCTTGCCTCGAAGTGCCAACTCCTGCTGGATGGGGGCGTGGGTGACCACGAGTGGGTCAGCAGGAAGAGAGGAAGGCCTGTGCCCTCTCTGAGAGCTTCTCAATCTCAGATCTTCAGATCTGAAGGTCAGTATCACACCATCTGGAAGTCAGCACTGGATACTCTGGGTGAGTTTGGTTGATGGGAAATTGCCTAAGCCTGAAGGCTCATCAGAATCCTCCTGTCATCTTCCTGGCAGCTAGCCCCCCCCCTCCCCCGCACTCGATCCACCCAGCACGTGCTCTTCCCCAGCAGCCCCTATCCTCCTCAACTGCAATGTGAAGCCCCAAGCTCTGCTCCTGGGCAAAGTGATATGCTTTGGTGTGGGAACCACACTCACTTGAGGATGAGGGCCATCGTCTCCTTCCTGTCCTTCCCCTGGAATGGCAGGGACCCCGTGAGCATCTCGAACTGCAGAGCAACACAGAACACAAGCCGATGAGTTCACTCCTCCACTTCCAATCCCCGTCAGTGCAGTGTAGCACTGACCATGTGGTGGGGCACTAGGGATCTCTGCCTCCAGGTTCCCAATCCAGTTGGAAAGCTGCATGAAGGGTGAGCACAGTGAGTGACTGCACTACACGTGGTCTAGGGACCACCCTTCCCTGGTGGGTGCTGTAGAGAGCAATGGCAGGAGGAGAAGGGAGAGAAGGAAGAGGAGGAAAAGGAAGAGGAGAAAGGGGAGAGCTACCTCACACCGACCACTCTGTTCCAGACCACTGTATGTGCGATGTCTTTTTCTGTGATGGGAAAGATCCCAATCACAGCCCATTGATAACATCTGATAGGGACAACATGGCACCAGCAATCTCTCAGACACAGATTGCCACTCACTAAAATAACACGGGCCAGGAAGGGCTTGTGATAAGATGAGGCCAAGGGCAGACTTGACTTGCCAAGCATCGGTTTCCTGCTCAAACAAACAGCACTCATTCTGTGGGCCCCAGAGGCTCTAGCCTAGGACCCCAGAGTCATCACAACATACACCCTGACCATTCCTTCTCTGTAACCAGGGTAGGAGGAACAAACCCCTCCCACACGTGGTACCAACACTCAGGGAAATGTGCGAAAGCATTGGTATGAGTGTCTTCCTGTCAGTCTAACTGACGAGGAAGAACCCAAGTGGTAAAACATCCCATTACACCTGCATGGCTTGGTATTTTCACTGCATCTGTCTCTGCCTCTTAGCAACTAACCCTTCATCATCTTTCCTTTGCAGTATGAAAATCCCAGGAAACACAAAAAGTACAATATCAAAATAATCACCTTGGATCCCATTACTCAAAGACAACACTGTATTGACCAACTTCCAGCATGTGCTTTGCACTCTTATATTTACTTGTTTTAAGAGCACAGATATGCTTCATATACTAACTTTTCATGCTTACTGCAACATTTTTGTAACATGATTTTATATGTGGATACGCCAACATATAATAAGGTATGTACTGTTGGGGGCGATGTTTACTTTTCTCATCATTATGACAAAATACTTGACAAAAGCAACTTAAGGAGAGAAAGGTTTATTTCAGCTCAGTGTGAGGCCGGGAAGGCGCCATGGAGACTGAGGCAGCTGGAGCCGTGGCTGCTGCTCACACTGTCTGCAGTCAGGAGACAGAGAGCGGTGGTGCTGGAGCTCAGCTGCTTCTTCCTTTCCCCTTTGCTTCATGGGATGGTGCTGTCCAGTCATGCTGGGTCTTCCTGCCTCACTTAAGCCTCTCTAGAAATGTCCTCACAGACACAGAAGTGCGCCTTCTAGGGCTGAAGAGATGGATCAGTAGTTAAGAGCACTGACTACTCTTGCAGAGGACCAACAGGTGTTCAATTCCCAGCACCCACATGGTGGCTAACAACCATCTGTAACTCCAGTTCCAAGGGAATTCGATGCTCTCTTCTGACCCCCATGGGCACTGCATGACACGGGTGCACTTTTATAGATGCAGACAGTACACCGATACACATAAAATAAAAAAATAAATATTTTAAAAACAGAAGTGTGCCTCCAAGCCGATTCTAAATCCGGTCAAGTTGACGAGGAAGGATGAAGCACGCTTCCAGGCCACCAGGAGTGAATTACAAACAAGTGCGGTGACAATTTTCAGTCTTTTTCTGATTATTTGACAGGTTCATACATTTCTGTAATGAACTGCAGTCATTCCCACCTCCCACTAAAAGGAGGCTGGGCAGTAGAAGGGAGACTCGGAAGACGAGGTTCAGTGGGAAATGGAGGGAAGAAAAAGGGGCTAGGGTGAGCAGGTACACGTCCTTAATATTGTTAGTCTTCTGTAAACCAACTTCTAAAGGCGTGAACAAGCTCCTGCAGTTTGGGGGTCTGAGCACACCGGTCACACTGAACCAGCAGCTGATTAAATGAAGGCGTGCAGAACGCCGGGCTGCAGACAATAAACAAATATGTAAGTAATAAAGCAAGAGCGACAGAGTCCAGATAAAATAGACAAAGTAATTAAACGAAAAGGCTTGGATGTTCTGATGAGCAGATGAGCGACTCGTCTGATGAAATGGGATGAACACTCATAAACTGATTATACAAATTATAATCTCAAAATAGGCGCCATGGTGAAGGGAGCGCTCCTATGCTGGCTCCTTCCTTTCCTGCCTCTGCTTCTTCCCTCGAGTCTATTCATAGCACTCATGAAACCCCAGTTCCCAGGAAGAGCCGTAGCACAGCTCCGTGGAACGAGGACGCCTGCTTCTGACCAGCTCACCCTTGCTGCACAGCAGTGCCGGTCTCTGTGCCTGGGCACCAGCACACATTTGTTTGCTATTTCTTCCTAACACTGAGGGTCTGGTTACCAGCCGTCTCTCCCCCTCCCCATTCTCCCTCCACATGGTTCTTTCCTCTGAAGCTAGGTCCTCATGGGAGGGACCAACACGGGCACACGGGGTGCTCACCAAGTGCCTCTTCAGGATGATGTGAGGTGACATAAGGATGGAATTGTTTGCTTTGGAAGCCTATGCAAATCATGGTTCTCCAGCTTCATCTCCTAATCCTAGGAGCCCACAGAAAGGGGCTCATTTCGGGGTGCTGCTGCTCAGAAAGTGCCTGTCCTTTATGTCTTATTAACTCAGGGCCTGGTGGCTGGGTGCCCCTGTACTGAGACTTGTGCTGTGGTGTGTCTGCCACCAAGGCTTCAGAGCAAAGTGACAGTGGCCAAGGTGAACCTGGGCTCCCACAGGAAATGCACATGCTTGGGGAACCCCCAGGTAATGCAATCACAGAATGTCAGCAGGGTCAGGCCATGGCTACACACAGGGAATCTGATGAGACACTGAGATTCACTTGAAGACCTACGATGCTTCCAAGATGAGGAAACGACAGTGCCTCTAAGGCAGGGGTCCAGTCCTCCTAACCCTCATTTCCCCCACGGAGCTCACGGTGCCTCTAAGGCAGGGGTCCAGTCCTCCTAACCCTCATTTCCCCCACGGAGCTCAGGGTTCCTTAAAGAAGCAGCTCACAAACACAGGGGTCCCAAAGAGAGTCTTTCACCAGGCTTAGGTGAGCTGACACGGGATGTCACTTAGGCCCATCTCCTACTTGCACATGAGAACTGGGAAATAACTTCTGATGTTGGCAAGGAAGCACTGGAGCCTGAGGCTGCGAGTCAGGTCTTCTGGGAGAAGCTGGTCAGCATGTGGATCCCAAAGAAGAGTTGGGCAGGACTCAAAGGGGATGTGGAGATCAGGAACTGCTGACCACTCTTCTTTGAACAGCGCTCATTTCTGTGTGCAGAAAGAAAACTATCTTTTCTGCCATGGTTGGAGGTTCGGGGTTCAGATGAAATCTGAGGAAGTCCTGTAACTCTCAAGTGATATGTAGTGTTTCTCCGTGGTCTGTGACACCATATCTGACTCGTGAGTAAGTAACAGTGCTAAACCTGCTGCCCCTTGTCTGTAACTGCCCCAAGATGTGGAATGTGGGATCCTTCTGACTGAAATGACAGAATGGTTCCATCTGCACCAACTACCTGGATCTTTGCTCTGATGAAATACCTGACAGAAAGCAACTTAAGGGAGGGTGATGGTTAATCTTGTCAACTTGACTGTGCTTAAAATCTCCAAGAGAAACATTTCTGGGTATGTCTATGAGGGTGTTTCCAGAGGCTGAATTGCAGAAGTCCACCCTAAATGTGGATGGTACCATATGGTCTGGGGTCCTGGACTCAGTAAGAAGAAAGTCAGCTGAGTCTTCTCTGTTTCCTGGCAGTGGACACAATGTGATTGGCCACCTCAAGCTCCAGTCACCAGAGCCAGAGCCACCCCTGACGACAGCACAGACTGCACCCTCCAACTGCAGGTCACTCTAAACCCTTCCTTCCTTAAGATGCTTTGCCAGACATCTTGTCACAGCAATGAGAAACTAATCCATCCAGAGAAGAAGGATTTATTCTGCCTTACATGCTGAGAAGGTTCTGTTCATCTTAGTGGGCACAGTGGCAGGGAAGGCTTGGTCACACGTGGGCACATTGTGAAGCACAGATGCCCTGGTGTTCGTTTTTTCCATTTGTTTTCAGTCCTGGGCCCCAGCCCACGGGATGGTGCTGCCCACATCAGGGCTAGCCTTCCTCTGGCAGTTAATCTATAGAAAAGCCCACACAGACATACCAAAGGTATGCCTCATTAATGTCCTAAGCATTTCTTCATCCAGGCAGGTTGACAACTGAAACCAAGCCTCATACCAATAACTGAGCAGTGTGGGGAGAAGTGTCCTGTGTGGGTGAGAACCTGGTGGTAGTAGCTCCTGGTGGCTGTGTGGCAGCTGCTGCAATAAGACCAGTTCTGGGAGCAGGAACCACATTTTGTTGTCAGCTTGGCAAACTCTGGGGGGCAGGGAGTCCCAGAGCCAGGTAAAGGTCATGAAACGCGGTGTGGATGAAACATGGTGTGGACCTCTGCAGTCACTGTTCCTTGGGAAGTGAGAGATATTGTGTCAGGGAGGTGACTATTTAAAGCATAGGAAGTGGAGAAGTACAAAGACACATGGGAGATGTGGTGTGGTGACCACCAGAGGTGTGAAGGAGTTACGGAGAGGAAGCCCGGGACAGCTTGGGGTCGGGAAAGGTCTCAAGAGCTGATCTCACTCAGGGCTACATGGGGAGGTTTCCTGGAGGATTAGGTATCAGGGGACAGCCTGGCTGGCCTCCTGCTCTTACCCACATATCAGCTGGCCTGCCAGAGGGCAGGACCCCATGACCGTCCCAAGACCAAGCTCTACCTGTAGCATACTGTGCAGTCTGTTTCCAGCTGTGGGTTTCCCCACTCTGTCAACCTCTTTGCAAGCTAGATATCCCAGGGAAGGACAGAAAGTGGGAAGTTGGGGTGAGATGTGGAGGAAGCCCGGACAGGCGGCACAACCAGCCTGCTGAGGGTGGGGACGAACACCAGCTCCAGGACAGTGGAGCTGAAAGGACAGGCCACTCCTGCAGCTGCTGACGGACCCTTACACCTACAGACGGCAACTCAGTAAAGTCTGCAGCAATGGAAAGAGACTTCAAGTAGGGGCATCATCACCCCTCTGCCCAGAAGACTCCCACCAGCCAGCCAGGCGCTCAAAAGACGCCACATGCGGGGCTGGAGAGATGGCTCAGCAGTTAAGAACACTGGTTGTTCTTGTAGAAGATCCGGGTTCGAATCCCAGCACCCACATGGTAGTTAACTGTCTGTAACTGCAGTCCCACGGGATCTGACAGCCTCTTCTGACCTCCATGGGCACTGCACAACATGGGTGTACTTACTTACACACAGGCAATACATGCATACATATAAAAAATAAAATAAATAAAATATGTAAAAAAAAGAAGCCACATACATGGGAGCACAGCTATCTACCCAAAAGTCACCTGGAAGAGAGCAAAGGTAACTGTTTGTCTCCTTAGCACATGTGAAGACCAACCTTTCAGTCAGAAGGAGGAAATGCTTTGAGACAACCATGGGACCATGGGGATTTGACTACTGGCCTTCAGAAGAGACCTGCGTCCTAGCTGCTGTCCCTGAGGGTCTGAATAGTCATCAACAGCATTAGTGCCACCTTCCTGGCAACACCAGTGACTTTTACATCACTGTGCAATTGTGATGTTCTGTGTGTTAGGAATTAGGAGTTTTAACTCTCTCCTGGGTAAGAACTCTCTCCCTGGTCTAATGTTAGGACTAGGAGTTGAAAGAGCTGCAGGTGGAGAGAAAAAGCAACCAACCTCAGCAATTCAAACTGACCATCATCAGTCAATGAGGGCTGACTACTGGCCGTAGAGGAGTAGCCCCACACCTGCCAAGCAGCAGGGAGCATCAGTGCCCTGTGTATGGAAACAGTCATGGGAGTCAGATAGGGACACCTGTAAAGGATTTAGGGCCCACTTTTTACAGTAAGGGTCTCAAAAGGCCTTGATGACAAAGCAGGACCTGCTTGCAGAGACCACTTTATGGATTTAGGGTTTATGGGGGTCCTGGATGGGCTTGTTTGCAGAGCAAGAACTGCTTTATGGTTTGGGGTTTATGGGGGTCTCCCTTTACTAGGACCAACCGGCTTTTTATTAAGATCTGACAGAGGAGAGGAGTCCAGTTTTACAGGCTGCCCAGGAGGGGGTAAGGACATCTCTTACTGTGAGCTAAACCCTCTCCCCAGCTGGCTGGTTACAAGTCTGCCAGTGTTTACAGCTTGTGTAGACACAGCTGCTGAGGACCAGGCCCCGGAGAGCGTTGGTGATTGTGGCTCCTTAAGACCCCAAGAGGTTCGAAGAGGAGAATCTGAACCAGAGCTTTGGGTCCCACAGGGGCGGCCCCACAGGGGTGGGGAACACAGGGGCAGTCCTACAAGGGGTGGGGAACACAGGGGCAGTCCCACAGGGGTGGGGAACACAGGTGGCTGAGTCTGTGAAGGGAACTCATTTGGATGCACAGACCATGCTGAGGCTCTTATCACATCTACTAAAACCCCTGTGACCTCAGCTTCTTCCCCTGCTAAATGCAGATTAGAGGGGTTTGGGGGTAACCGACTGTCACTGATGTCAGATTCCAGAGAGCAAGGGTGTGGGGGGCCGTGATCATGCTGTCCAGCTGGGTGGCAGGAGGCAAGTAAGGAGCAGCCCAGATTTGGAAATGGGGACCACTTCTAGATGCAGATATAAAAATGGTTAGTCCAAGAATGCTTTGGTTCTTGTCAATTTTTACAACTCAGTAAAGGGATTTTGTTTGAAATAGGAGAAATGTGTTTGACATAGAAATCACTGTCTCTCTTCATACCCTTGCTGAATCCACCATGGTTAGTACAGAGAAGTTCAACCTTTAATATACTTGCATTCTTACTTGAACCCCACATCCATTTCCTATGGTGAGAACCAGGACAGACAGCGGAGAAGGCTGCAGGACTGCTCTCAAACTCACTGCCTCCTCTTGTGCCAAACACCAGAATGGCCTGGACTTGCCCTTCAAGCCCAATTCCTCTTCCGTTTCTGGGCTCTCTGGGTCAAGCTGGAATAGGAGTCCAACTGGGCAACAGCTACCATTTCAGGGAAACCAGAGGCACCAGCCCTTACCATGAGCACACCAAAGGACCACCAGTCTGCACTCTGCGTGTGTCCTCGCCGGTTCACCACCTCGGGTGCCATGTATTCAATCGTCCCGCAGAATGAATAGGCTCTCTTGTCGTGGTCGATGGCTTCCTTGCTCAGGCCAAAATCTAAATGTAAGCACATCACACAGCACTGCCTGAGTCTCTGGGCAGACTCAGGACCGTGGCTGTGCAGACTCTAGGGGTTGCATACTTGCTCCCTCCCTCTCTCAGACAACAGAGCCCTGCATGGCATCTGCCTAGGAGTGCCTAAGATGGCCTGGCATGTTCTTGAGGTGAAAATCTATGAGGAGAATTCTTTGAGTTTCTGTAACATCAGGAGTTTTACTTCTTAGTAGCTACATGCCTTTCCAAAGACCCTCTCCCACAAATAAGCACAAGGTAACGTAGCACTCTGACCACAGCTGAGGGGCCTGTATGACAGGAAGCAGGGCAGCTCTGTGAGGAAGGAGGAAAGGAAGAGGAGGCATGGTGGGCACCTGCTTCCCTGGCTGGTGAGGTGCTGAGGACTCAGTGGCTTGTGGAGGTGTGGAGGTGAGGCCAGGGCCAGTTATGGGGCAGGTTAATGGTGCCCAGATATGGTCCCATCTGAATCCAGAACCTATGAACAGATGACTTTACAGTGTGAAGGGACTTGCAAGTATATAGTGAGGATCCTGAGGCAGGGGATTAACGGAGCAGGCCCAACATCATCTAACAGGTCTCTGTGAAGGAGGAAGAAGTAAGCCAGAGACTGGAAGATGCTGGGCTGCTGTCAACGCAGGTGAGGAGGGGGATCCATAGCAAGCTGGAGGGATCAAGGCAAGTGATTCTTTCCAGGGACCCAGAGATACCTTGAGTTTAGCCTTGAGACTCAGAGCTCCAGAACATGAGGAAATAGATCCTGTTGCTTCTCATAACTTGAAACACACACAGACACAGATACACATGCACGCACGTACACACACACACAGACACGCATGCATGCACGTACACACGTACACACACACACACACACACACACACACGCGTTGAAACACACACAGACACAGATACACATGCACGCACGTACACACACACACACAGACACGCATGCATGCACGTACACACGTATACACACACACACACACACACACACACACACACACACACACACGCGCTATCAGGGAATGAGATGGAATGTTTGCACTTGGGCTGAATTCAGTGCCTCAGGGCTTGGACAAAAACATGCAGAGCAGCTGGGCAGTTGCTACTGAGGCTAGGAGACTTGCATCTGCTCTATGGTGAGCATGGCTGGGGCTCCCAGGTGAATGCACAGTGATGAATACCCAGTGATACCGAGAAGTCTGGAAGGGGTCTCAGGCAGGTGTGGCAGGAGAACAGAGGAGGCAGTCTGGAAGTCTGAGCACCCCCTTGCTGTGAGCACATGTGTGGAGAGCCAGCACATGGACACAAAAAAAATTGGCCAGGTCAGGGTTGAGACAGGGCTATGGCTGTGAGGGGGTCCCCCAACCTAACAGGGCTGAGAAGTGGTGGAAGGAGGTAAGACTGCTTTTTACTAACCTGTGATCTTAACATGTCCCTCTTCATCCAGGAGGATGCTAAAAGAAAGGGAAAGAAAACAGTTTTCAGAGAGCATATAGTCCATGCTGCAGTGCACAACTCAGGGGAGAGAGGGGAGAGGGGAAGAGGGGAGAGGGGAGAGGGGAGAGGGAGAATATGCAGTCCACACTGCAGTGCACAGCTCAGGACAAAGCCCTAGGCAGCCAGCATGTCCTGCGTGGTACCTGGGCTACCGGCTACTTTTGTATGTGCTCATATGGCAGTCTGAGCCAGCTCAGGAGGGGAACCAAAGGGTGTGACCTGAGTCTAGGGGAGGGAGCCAAAGTACTGCAGGTTTTGAACATTCTTGAGTCTTTGGAGGACTCAGCCCTTGGCCTGTTCCAGATCCAGGAGAATGGGGCCCCTGACACAGCTACCTGCCCCCTCTGAGGAGGAAACTTTCTGTCCTTGCCTAGAAACCTAAATCTGGCCCCAGCTCTTGGGACCAATCCCTGTCTTTGGAGTGCCTAGGGGTGTCCTAGGCTTCAAACCTGTGGTGGAACCTGGGGCTCTCCTGGCAGCACCAATCACAGGCCACTGCATCCCTGGTCTGTTTCCCACTGAGCAAAGTCTGACCGCTGGCTTTGCTCTTCCTAGATTTCCACCCCATTAGAAAATGGAGTCATCAGCCCCTCTTCTCTGCACCCCAGGTTGGAGCCTGGGGCTGTGATGCCCCAAGACCCAGGGCTCCAACCTTTCTACCTAGTTTCTGGAATGTCATTAAATTCTGCTCCCAGAGGTGCCAGGAGATACAGCACAGTCCTAGAGACACACCAGGAAGGGCCTGGAGAGGAAGGAGGCTACACACCGAGGAAAGGGAAGGGATGGCTTGTTGGATGCTACAGTTTTCTACCCATACCAGGCCCAGAGCACCATCACATTCACTGGGAGAGAGTAGAATGCTTTTCTGGCCTGGGCTGGGGGGAAGTGAACTGGTTAGTGTGTAACAGGGATCGTCTCAGCTCTGCAGGATGGAAAGTGTTCTTGCCAGGGGTAGTGGTGGGGTGCTTATGGTCACCCAACTATGCCCTCCGTCACAAGTAAATTGTATAGTAACAACATTAAAAGTATCTGCACAGGATTAAAGAGTATTCAGTGTTTTGTGGAAAAAATTATTGAATATTAAGAAGTTATAATTAAAGAGGCAAATATTTTTATTTCTGCTTTTTAGTCATACTGAAGCTTTGCCCAGAATTAAGAAGCTTTCAAGATTCATTCCCAAATAATTCTAATTGGGCAACAAAATCTTTTCCTTAATTGTGAAATTAACTGTTGTTGTCTCTAGCTTCAAGAATCATCTCGAACTTCACAACTTAATGGGAGCCAGGGTTCTGCCTGACCAGTCAGCCAGCATGAGTGGTTCCCAGCACACAGGAGTCTCTCAGATCCACGCCTACAAGGAGGGGTCAGGCTGTGGGCACAGATCCCTACAACCTGAACTCACGAAGCCCAAGATAATCAGCATGAGGTGAACTTCTGAGATGAGCCTTGTAGTAAGCCTTGGGGACAAATTAGGGCCAGTGTCCACCTCCTGGTCAAAGCTGTGAAGGAGATGCCATGGGTTCTGCACACCAAGGGGCATGGAGTCAAACTTGCTCCAAAGTGTCACTCTGGCCTCCTGCTCTTGCTCCTGGAGGGGACAGGTACAGGTGACAAACTAGCACTTCCTGTGGGCTCCTGAGGACCGGGCTTTGAGGGTCATGTTCACACAGGCACCAGATGGGCCAAGATGTTTCCTTGATTAGTGGTTAATGAGAGCCACACACAGCACAGACAAGCAGATGCTTCATTCCACATGACTTGGCTCCTGGGAAAAAGCCTCAGATGTTTCACATGAATGACAGCCATATCCTCAGGGAGGCATCTGTATCTCAGGACAGGGCAGTTGACAGAGAGAGAGAGAGAGATGAGGAACAGGGTCTGGTGTCCATCCTGATCAGTGACCCCTTGGACTTATGGTGTGGCCTTTGGCTGTCCTGATGGGACACCTCTTCTGGGAGTGTGGCTGGAGTTTCCTGTGGGATGACTCAGCCAACCCACAGTGAGATGAGCAACCCAAGGACACTGTGAGAGCTGGGCAGTGGAGCCTGAAACACCACTGCTAACCCTCCTGTCTGTATGAGATAGTGCCAGTCCTGGCCAGCTGTGCCACTATGAACAGAGAAAACTGCAACTAGGAATCCTGTCCTTGGTGAGAAGCTATCGTTTGCATTTACATTAGATTGGATGGACTACTCTAGAAATGTAAACATGACAGTTCTCAGTCTGGAAGACACACTGACCTGGGGGACCTGGGCCAGGGACTCTGTGGCCACTGCCTCTCAGCTGATCCCTTGAAGGAACTAATCTGACCTGTCACCTAGAAATGGGCCAAGCAGCCAGCTCAGAGCAAGCTGACCGACCACGTCCCTCCAGCCTGGGGCAGTGGTTGAAATGTGCCTCAAGCCTGAATGACAGTAGAGAAAGGAAGAGGGAGAGGTGAGCAATGGGGACAAATGTGTGTGACAATGTGACATGCTTCCTGGTAACAGAGGCTGCTGGCCTGGAGGGGGAGGTATGTGTAGTCAGTCATGGGCCTGCTCTGACTGGCCATCTGTATGTGTGAAGGAATGAATGTGGTCCTGACTGCCCCCTCCACCCCATGTAGCGCTTACAAGGATGGGAGAAGAACAGACAGGCCTGAGCACTTCTACCAGAATCAGCAAAGGCTGCAACCTGCAGCAGGACACCTGCAGTAGGGTGCAGGGTGGGGAGACAGCACCCACACAGCCCGCTTGGAACCTGAGGACTGGACCCATCTGCATGACACTGTCCCAAGCCCATTGTCTGAGATGCACTCAGGAAATGAGTCCTGAGCAACAGATGCCGCAGTGGGTGACCAATGTGTCTACCTCTCTCCTCACTTACTTCTCTGGCTTCAGGTCCCTGTAGATAATCCCCAGTCCATGGAGGTGGTCTAGCGCCAAGGCCAGCTCAGCCAGGTAGAATTTGACATCCTCCTCAGTGAACATGACCTAGAGGGACATGAGAGGACCACGGTTCAGCTTGTTCCATGGCTGCTTCTTTCAAAGTGCTTTTCTGGGACCAGGGCTAACCCATAATGTACATGTGTGGAGAGCCTGTCTCCCCCATGACACTTCTGGTGCTCCTAATGCAGAGGCATGAGTTCCCTCAAAATTCAAGGGTCAGTGAGATCCAGGAGGCAGTGCTGCTATGGGTTGTCTCATGAGCAGAACCTCCTCACCACTGGCCCTTCTTACCCTCAAGTTGCTCAGCTCTGGGGTACAATCCTGGGCTTTGGCTTTATTAGAAGGGCTTCTGGTGTGAATTCATGATGGATATTGTAATGCAAACAACCGAACCACACGGTGGAGGCTGAAGGACTCTGGAAAATGGATCTTGTACCTCACTTTTCTCCCTTCTTCCATCTCCCGCTAGGACTGATGTAAACCGGCAGCCTGGTCACCTGCTGTCTGTCCCAAGTCCAATGTGCTAGTGGGGAGGGCCCATGAGCGCTGGGCTCGGGGCTACATTCTGAGCTCTCATTGGTACAATCCTGGTGAGCGGACCTCAATGCCGGCTCAAGATGGTCTGCCCCTGTCTCATCTGTGAATTCATCGTCATGTCAACAGGAAGGCAAAACTTCAACACAAACTGTGTGTGTGCCATGCACCTGTATTCTTATGTGTGCATGTATGCAAGCAGGTGTGTGCACATATGTGTAGAGGCCAGAGGGTGATGTTAAGTGTCTTCTTTCATCACTTTCCACCTTATTTTTTAAAGAATATTTTGTTTTTATTTTATGTGTATGAGCGCTTTGCTCGCATGTGTAAGTGCACCTGCCTGTGTTGTACAATGCCCACGGAGGTCGGTAGAGGGCGTCAGATCCCCTGGAACTGGAGTTACAAGTGGTTGCTAGCTGCTACATGGGTGTTGGGAACCAAACCTGGGTCCTCTGCAATAGCAGCCAGTGCTCCTCACCCATCTCTCCAGTCCCTCCACCTTGTTTTTTAAAACAGGATACTTCACTGAACCTGGAGCTCCCAATGTGACTAGGCTGGTCCCATAACACCATCTTAATAGCAGCCAGTGCTCCTCACCCATCTCTCCAGTCCCTCCACCTTGTTTTTAAAACAGGATACTTCACTGAACCTGAAGCTCCCAATGTGACTAGGCTGGTCCCATAACACCATCTATTCACACCCCGGAACTTCTTCTCCAGTGCTGGGACTACAGGTGTGTGCTGCTGAGCCAGGCCTTCTATTACAAGGACACTGGAGATCTGAACACAGGTCCTCATGCTTGCACAGTAAGCACTTTACCCACTGAACCCTCTCCCCAGCCCCCTCACTGTCACATTCTACATGAGACTTCCATGTTGACACTAGAGTCCACATTATCACTGAAAGCAGACACATGAAAACCCACATGCAAACAATGCCATGTGAGGCCAGAACTAGAATGAGGTGGGTCAGGGGACTGGGTGGTGAATGCCGCTAGCCAGCAGTCAGGCCTCTCACCTCCCAGAAGGGACGCCTCCCTTAGGAGCTGCAAACTGCAGGTGGTGACCCCAGAAGCCAGCCTAGTTCCTATGTGTGACCAGTACCTCTCCTAGTTCCCTATTTCTTCTGTAAGATGCTAATGCATCCAGTCGTCTTTCAGACAAATCCTACCACGTGTCAAGTTCTCGTTCATGACCAGACAGCCATGGGCAGTTAGTACTGAGGGCCGCCATCACTTTCTGCTTTCCCAGGCCTCAGGACACAGCTCATACAGTCCCCAAGTCCAGTGACAAGCCACTGCCCACAGATGTGAGTCATCATGGTGCCCGGATATGGCAGGCTGCTGTCTAGTGTTCTGCTGAAGGACAGGATGCACAGAGAGGCTTTTCACGGCGCCCACGTGTGACCACCTCATCCTACTCTGGGGTAGCAGGTCGCACTTGTCCCTCCGTGAGTAGTTACAAATCACTGCCTTGTGGCCGAAGCCCAACCAAAGGTCATCTCACAAGTGCGGACAAAAGTAGACCCCAGAGGAGCCAGTTTTCTGAGTTGAGATGGGCAGAGCCCCATGCTCAGTGTACTTCTGCCCCAGGGACCACTAGAAAACTGAGGGAGAGAAGCCCATGGTCTCCAGGATCCTCCCTGGCCTGCTCTGTCTTGATCTGCTGTTTGTCTGAAGTTATGCATGACAGGCAGTTCTACTGAAAAACTGGGAGGGTGGGGAAAAAAAGAAATCACCATCACAGGCAAATAAAAACTGCTCTGCCAGGGAAGATGTTAGGAGCATCCCACGTCTGTTCCATGCAGTTACTAGCATGTTACTGTCACTGTTGTTCTCTGTCTTGTATAAAACAATATTTCATAGAAGTCCAGCATGACATTGCCTCCATCCCACAAGCTAGCTAAGTACTCCTCAAGTCATGAGGGACGCAGTGCCTTCCTGGTGCATTAAGCAGCATTCTGGGAATTTCTTACTTGAAGTGTGGATGGTCAAGGCTAACCCTGGAGTTAGAGGTTGATGGAGCTCAGTCAGTGTGCAAAGACCTGACGAGATGCTCCTAAACACATACTGCCCAGAGGATCGGTTTTCCAGGACTCAGAGTGAGCCACAGCTCTCTGTATTCAGAGTGAAATACAACTGATCCCAAACGTCACCTAAACATTGCTTCATCTACTCTACCTGAGGTAGGGCACAGTGGACAGGGACTGCTACTTTGAGCTTTACACAAAGCTCTGACGGAGCCTGTTCCTAAGGTTTTCTAAGTATGGACTGTTTGCTGATGTAGCTGTGCAGGTCTCACTCTGTAGCACAGGCTGACTGTGAACTCAAAACCCTCAGTCTCCTAAGAGCTGCGATTACAGGTGTGTGTCACTATGCCGAGTTTGTCCAAAGTTTTGAAAACCAACACTCACACCTACCACATATTCAGAAGGCATCATACATCACAAACACTGCATCACACACAGACAAAATGTCACACACATGACACATTATGTACCACACATCACATACCATACACTGACCTTCACACATCCATCTCCCTCAAGGCTGCCCCCCTCCCTCTTTCCTAGACAGGTCACCCTGGCCTTTGGCACGCTCACCTACCTCTTTGGAAAGCCTGGTGAAGAGGTCCCCTCCCCGAAGGAAGTCTAGAATCAGGTAGAGCTTGCCTTCAGTCTGAAAGGCTGTGGGAGGAGGCAAGATGAACACTTCAGCAACAAACACCATTCCCTCTGACCATATATCTCCATGGCTCCCAAAACCCAGTTTCTCTTTGGTTCAAGCAAGACTGTTTATCTGCAGAGCTGGAATTCAGACAGGCATATCTAACCAACGGGAGGTCAGTTGGCGACCACTTAACAACGATGGACAGCCCCACCTCACATAGTCTCTGGGATAAAGACAGGGCATCTTGCTCTTTTAGGGAAAAAACAAAACAAAACAAAACAAATGAAAAGGACTAAAGATGGAGGATCTAAGAGACCTCTGTCCCAGACAAGACAGGATGCTGCCACAGCAAGGATTTTCTTCTTTCTGATCTTGAGGATGCTGCCCCCAGCCCCCCTCAAAGTGTGTCACATTTGCTGCACTCACCGTAGTGCAGCTTGACAATGAAAGGGTGGTTCACTTCTGCCAGGATGTCCCTCTCCATCTTCGATCGGACCCGGTCCCGCACTGCAAAGTAGAAATGAAAGGCTGCCAGAGGTGGGTGGGGAGTTCTGAGGCCCCTGAGGACACAACCACAGAGAGGTCATTCCACAGTTTCCACACGTGTAAGCTTCAGAGTGGTGTGGTGACCACCCCTCACCTCCATCTGACAATTACTTACATTTTGATACATTTACTTTTCTTTTTCTAGCTCTTTCTCTCTCACCAAAAACCATGGAAAATAAATTGTAGACACCATGACACTTAGGAGCATCTGCCCATGTCTCTTAAGGACAGTTTCTTACATGACTCAAATCTAATGTCATATCATCCCATGGCACTGTCTGACCTCTAGTCCCCATTTAATATCCCACCAATTACTCTTTCATTTACTTTTACTTTATGTGGTTAGGTTTGCCTGTATGAATGTATATGTACCATGTGTTCAATGCCCAGAGGCACTGATTCTCTGGAACTGGCATTACAGTTGTGAGCTGCCACATGAGTGCTGGGAACTGAACCCAGGTCCTCTGCATGAACCAGAAGTGCTTTTAACCATGGCCACCTGTCCAGACCCTCTCCCTCCACCACCAGCTTCTTAGATGACTCTAACCCAGTGCCACATCTGTGCTACCTTCTGGTCTCCAGCATTTAGCACCTTCTTACCACGTGCAGCTCTTGCTTGGGGCCAGTCAAGGGCCGTACATTTAGTACGTTGCCTACTAAACTGCCGGTATCCCCACACCTTTCCCCACTTGACTTCTCAGTGAGTCCAGGCCAGTTTTCTTGCAGAATGATCCACATTGAGGTCTTTCTGACTGGGATCATTCAGTGGGTCCCTCTAGCTTGTATTTCTTGTATATGGAGGTCAGGTCTAGAGGTCTTGTAGCATGGAGGCTGAGCATTTTTGGTGACCTGGTAGTGTTCCTACCTCTACCTTCTGTGATCAGGAGGTGCCTATGGGATGGCCCTTTCCAAGAGACACCAAATGAGTGAGTGGCTGTGGTGGCGAAGACTCACCTTTCCAGTGTCAAGAGCCCTCAGCGCCCTTCTAAGGAAGAAGCAACCCAGGAGGTGACGCTCTGGCACAGAATGACCCATGCGTTTCCCAACTTTCACCCAGTGGGGCTAGCATCGACACAGTAACAAAGCAGTGGTTTTTCCATTTCTGAGACAAGAGGACAATTCTTTCCAGGCCAATAACCACCATAAAGACATGTGTGTGCGCGCATGCGTGTGTATGTGAATTACAACATGCTAGTCAGTGCTCCTGCTGTCTCAAGCTCAGCCATCTTGAAATATAGATGTAATTAGTTCTGAGCAAAACAAATGAACAAGTCAAGAAAGATGGTCACTTGAGGATAAGAACAAAGCTGAGACTCCATAGACAACTGGTATACCCAGGGCACCATCTGAGGGACCTCATACAGCTCTCTGTGAGAGGGTGCGACATGCAGAATGCCTATAGTGACAAGTCAGGTTATAGTGCTCATCCCTATTTTATACTTGTGATAAGAAGTCCTAAAGGTTTATCAAAGAAATCCTTTTCCGGTACTGGAGAGATGGCTCAGCGGTTAAGAGCACTGACTGCTCTTGCAGAGGACCTGGGTTTGACTCCCAGCACCCACATCGTGGCTATGAACCATCCTTAACTCCAGTTCCAGGGGAATCCAAAGCTCAATCCAAAGCCCTCTTCTGACCTCTGTGGCATTGCATGGCATGGGTGCACTCACACACGCAGGAAATACACTCATACACATAAAATAAAAATAATAAATAAAATATTTTTTAAAAAAGAAATCCTTCCCCAAGGATGGTGTAGTAACAACAAAATGGACTATTAGCAGTGTTGGTGTAGACACAAGGGTGCCTACACCTGTGTGCGCTGCTGGGCATGCAACAACTCAGCACCGCGGAACAGCTGAGCACAGTACTGTATAACCCAGGAATTCTGTTCCTAGCACCTGTCGCAAAGATCCGAAAGCAGTGGCTGGAACAGACATTTGCACAGCTATGTCTACATCAGCACCACCAATAGTCATTGGTGAAAGTAGCCCATGTCCATCAGGAGAGACATGAACAAAACGTGATGCACACGTGGTACACACACAATAGAACAGCATTCAGCCTTCACGAGGACACTTCTGATACAGATGAGTGTCACATGAGACACTCGGAGACACACTGAGTGAAACAGGGCCCACACAAAAGGACACTGTCCTGTGATTCCACTTGTAAGAAGAACTTAGCATAGGCAAATTCACAGGGACAGAAAGTACAGTAGTGGTTACCAAGGGATGGAGATATGGAGGAACAGGATGTTACAATCTAAAGGGTTCAGAGTTTCTGTTCAGATGATGGGAAGGTTTGGGGTGTAGCACTGGTGCTGGCTGCGTAGCTTTGAATACCACATCACTCAGGTCATAAATATGCCTTATGTTAGGTCCTTCCTCACCCTGTTCCAGGACAGTCTCCTGTGCTTTGCTCTGTCAGCTCTTGGTTCCAACCTTTACATCGAGCATTTAAGCCTTCTGGGGTCCAACCCCTGCTTTGGTGCTGTTCTGTGCTGGTCAGTGGTGATTGCAGAGCTGGCTGCCTGGTGTCCGCCCTGTGGGAATCATCATCACCGTGGGCAGCTGTCTGCTTCTGTCTCTGGAACAGGGTAGATGTCTCCCATGTCACAGACTTACCACAGGAAACAGATCAAGTCCCATATAGCACACATGAGACACTGACCTGGCCACAAGTGCCCCTCAACTGTCCCTTGAGGTGCCCTGTCACTGTACTTTGAGACTCCGCAGGCTCCTCACACTCTCCTCTGGTCCACGGCTCTATTTGCTTATATGTCAACAGCAGTCCCTGCCACTGCAGCAGTCCGTGCTGTGGTGGGAAGGAGCAAGTAGATGCAGTGGAGTGACAGAGTTGCAGGCGACTTGTGTAAGAGCGCCTTGTCTTATCTTGTATAAGAACCAGCCTCCCAAGTCCTGCAGAGCTCCAACTCTCAGAGTCTACAAGCAGATTTGCCCCAAGAGCAGAGGGTTGAGGGGCCATGTTAGAATGCCATGCTTGGAAGACCGTGCAGAACATGTCTTTTGACCTCACACTTTACAGAGGAGCAAACAGCTCATGGTCAAAGAAGGCAGGTGCCCAAGGATAGACTTGCAGCTTTTCACTGGGTGCACAGCTGTACCTCACCAGAGGCTAGAACCTACCACTGCAGGAAACAGCAGAGGTCAAAGGGCTCCTGAGGAGGAAAGGGATGTGACCAGTCTAGGAAGAAGAGGGTTAAAAGAACGGGGCTTAGGCATGGGATCTCAAGGGATCTCAAGCAGTGCCCTGCCCAAGGTGGAGATGGCCGCCAAACATTTTCATCTGACGTAATTTCATGCCCTGGCTGTTTCTGGCATTGGAGCAATGCTCTGAGCAGATTTTTTTTTCTCCCACTGGAGTCAAGGAGGCCACGTGAGCCTGCTCGGAAGCTGAGTACATCTTTCCACTTCAGCGTGAGTTAGCACTGCAGTCATCTGGATTTTTGTCAGGTCGTTTTTTTCCTATGAAAACAGACTAGAAATGGGCTATGGGATGGTGGATGTGGGGGCAGGGTGGACGACAGAGTGGGCATGGGCATGGGTCTTCCTGGGCCTTTTGTAATTTGGACAGGTACATGGTAAAGCCAGATTCTCACCTCCTGGTCTCATACTCCTCTTCTTCTCCCACCTGCCCACTCCTACTCTGTCGCTCTGTGCTAGTACTGAGCGTGCAAAGCTGAAGCCCCACCTTTGAAAGGAGGCTGGTGGGGAGACTCCCTAAAGTGAGCAGCAGGGGGGCCACTGGTGCGGAGGGAAGTGGAAAGGCATGGCAGGGAGGGGTGAGGCTTACAGAGAGAGAACTGCACATCCATCAGGAGGTGCAGGGAGGGCACCGCCCAGGGGATGAGTAGCCTGGGTGCAGCGCTGAGGGGCCGTGGTGGGCAAGGCTGGCAAGCAGTGACTTAGGAGGCATGAGAAGCCAGGCAGCAGGGGCTGCACATGGACTGCACAGGACGTACATGGAACAGCTCCACAGCTGGGCATGATCAAAGCACCTGGGGAATGTGACAGCAGAGAGAACGGAGAGGCCTGCTTCCATAGTCCCAGAGAGACTGAGCTGGCAGGGGGACAGAGAATACTACCCTTGCAGTCCCATAATAAGAGGGCACAGCCCTCTGGCCTGGATGTTGAGTTGAGAAATTATCTTGAAGAGAAGCTACAGGGTAGTCCAGAGGAGGCCACCAACAGCCACACTGAGTGAAATGCTGGGACCACATGTGGACTGGCAGGAAGCTGGGCAGCAGCTTTGTTGGCAAGGTAGGTGTGCCGTCCCTGATCCACACAGAGGTTAACCTGGGGTGGTCAGAGTGAACAGAGGTTCTTGCTCAGGTCTGGAGGCACTGCTGTCCTGTACCAGGAGGGACAGAGGACACACCCCATCATGGAGAGCAAAAGGAAAATCAGGAGCAGAGAGAGCGATAGAGACACAGAAGAGTCGGGCGTGATGGCACACATCTTTAAGTCTAGCACTCGGGAGGCAGAGGTAGGCAGATCTCTGTGAGATCAAGGCCAGCCTGATGTATATAGTGAGTTCCAGGACAGCTGGGGCTGCAGGGAGACCTTGTCTCAAAACACCACCACCAACAAAAAAAGCATACTGCCCAGCAATGGGCAGCCGCAGACTGTCCCCAAGGGCAATGGCTGAGGAGGCCCATATACAGACACGGGAGGGCAGTAACATGGTCATCAGGGAACTGAGACGTCACTCTTCCTGGGTCTGCAATGGGCTGGGACTACTAAAACCAGAGAAGTTGGTGCCTTTGCCACTCGTTAAGTGTGACTTCTACAAATTTTGATAAACTTTTTTTTTTTTCTCTGTGAAAGGGTTTTGCTAAGTAACCCAGGATGAACTTGATCTGATCTTGCTTCAGGCTTCCAAAGCTTGGGGTTTTTTAATTAAAAAATTTTACCCATTCATTCTTGGACAAATGTCCTATC